GAACAGATCAGAGACCTTTTTGTTATTGAGGAAGATGATTTTCTTTTTAATGATTTTTTACCCCACTTGGTCATGGGGAAACCTCCAAGACCAGTGAGGAACCAGGTATGTTTCTCACAGACTCAGATTAGCTAATTGTTGCTAACATGTAAATAAAATAAAGTTCTAATGTGACTGGTTGCAAGAAGTGGAGCTCAGACTTGTTGGACGGTCTGTTAGTCCAATAAAGCTCCCAGAGAGACAGATTATTATTATTTTTTTGGAAAATAGATTTTTTATTTGTACACACTTTGTTGTGTTTTGCTGCTGTGGATAGATTTGTTGGCTGCACTGTTCCACACTGCCCCCATGATTTCCTTTTCTGGTGTTATCCCAACGTCCGGTCAGTATCCGTAAACTTCAAGAAGAGGTGCAGATATACAGATGAAATAACCCCAGATTACTGACAGAAGGCTCTGTCTGTATCTGTACGTCTATCCGACTTAAATCTTAAGAACCTTCCCATGTTTACAAACAAAAGCTGATCTAATAAACAGGATTTAGAGGGGATCGTCTCTCTATGTTTACACAAATTCTTCTCACTACTTCAGTTTCTTGTAATTCTCAAAACGAACTGGTTTAATTTGACTCAAAACCGTGAGGATTATATTTGACACCTTCCTCCGTTTATGTTTTGGAAGCTCCTTTCTGACAGGTTATGTTTCGGTTAAGTGTGTGATGAGCATGTCACCTTCCCACCACTCTTGACACGGTTCTGTTTCCAGGTAACCATAAATGTATTCTTCACAAATTGTGTAACTCTCTTCTGTTTGCTTACAACAGCATCAGACTGCTGCACCATGAGCTAAAAATAGGCCGGAGAGAACATTTATATCACCTGTGTACAGGTTTTATAACCAAGATCCCTACATAGATTAACCTTATTAAGGACACCGCCAAATTACCTGCCTGAAAATCAGATCAGACTTTTATTCTTAGTGTTTGTACTCCTCACCGTGTGACAGGAGTGTAGAGCTAACTTGAGCTCAATGAAACTGCAAATCATCATTTATCTAAAGTAATCTGAAGAGAATTTTCCATCCACAGATGATACAGACTGACGGTTTATATGCCAATAATGGTGGAAATATGTGTAATTTAATACAAAATATAAAAATATAAATGTTGTTACAGTCTCAGCAGACGGTCATTCAACCTGACTCTGGTTCTGCTCAAGGTTACCGCCTGTTAAAGATACAATATGTAGATTCTGCAGCAAGGGGGCTCTCAATCAATACTACATAATAATAATAAAAGATGGCGTCAAGGCTAGCGGGGAATCATGGGAATTCTCTCTGCTACTCCCTATCCCCGATGAACTCTGCATGGATGTAGTAAAGACGACTGGGTGAAACCGACTTAAGGAAGAGAATATGTTTACAGACGAGTTAATGTATCTGAGTATAATCTACATCAGTGTTTCTCAAATGGGGGTACACTTACCCTAGAGTAATTTGACATATTGTGAGTTTAAGTTATTCCTTGCCACTTTGACTTCTTTACATGCTACATGAATAAAAATGGATTGATTGATTGACCTTGACTTGACACAGACTGTTGGAAATGTTGACTCTACCTAACGTTTCCCACAATGCAAAGCATCAGGTCAGAGGACGAAATGACGGACAGCAGAGACCACACAAAGAGACCACCAGTTATCTTTGTTGATTCTCTAAATCATGAAAATCTAAATGAATCTCTCGTCAGAGTCAAGTTTGACGTCAGCTGGGCTGTTGATTACTTTCTCATTCCAAGACCAGAAACCAGTTTAGACTGGCCTGGTGAACTGCAGAATAACCACTGACTGGAGGTCACACTATAGACTACTGTTGAACACTATTACTATGTTGGACAGTAGTCTGGAGGCGTTTTCAAGGCCCACCACTCCGCCAGATTGTAGACTCTGTTTCCTAATTATCCTCCACTCAACTCCTGCCTCTGTCCCATCTACTGGGTTCATACATATTGTACTTGTATATACCCCTTATTTTTATTTATTTTTATCTAATCTATTCTGTTTAAATTTGTATTTTGTTTGACCTTCTTCTACTTGTCTGTGCTGCTGCAACGCCCGCATTTCCCCTCTGGGGATCGATAAAAGTATTATCCTATCCTGTCTCTGCTCCATCCCCTGCATACCTCTGACTAACACAATCTTACTAAAAATACTTTTCAGGTATTGTAAATACATTCTTTGGATTCTATCAGAACATAGATGAAGTTCAGCTGGTTTGTTTCCAACCCAGCTAATTTAAAAAGTGAGTGATCTAATGATGATGATTGTAAAGACTCTGCTAACTCCTGAGAGCAGAACCAGCTTTACTCAGAAACATTGTCCGCTCTGTTAATCTGATGAGCATGTTAAATCACCGCACAGCTTTTTTTAGATCCAACAGTTCCAGTGATTCATCCTGAGAGAGAAGTTTAACATTTTCATCAGAGGGAGCATCGTCACACATTCAGACTCTAATCTTCTCTAAATGTTTGCAGGTCCTCTATGAGGCCGACTCGGCCACATCATGAGCGTCTCCAGAACGTGTTCATGTTACATCAGCTTGTTTGGATCACAATCAAATATCTTAACAACTATAAGCTGTTTCATGCACTCCTGAATGTTTCTTGATAATTGAAGTCACAGCTGTCTCTGAATCAAGTCACGACGTAAAAAAGAATGACGGGGGAAAGGGCGGAGGAAGCGATGATGTCAGCCTTAATGTCAGTGGTTTGTGTTCATAATATTCAGTGTGAACAAACAAGTCGAGAAGACATGATGCAGCAGTTTAATTAGAGCACAGAGATCGTAGCGGTCATAGGATATGAACGTCATCACCCCCTCCTCCTCACTCACATTGAAAAAAAACATATCAATTGGCAAAATCAATTTTATCAAAGTGAGATGTGTAGTGAGTGAAATGATAAAGTGAGCTTACTATATGATCAGACATTAAGGAAACATGCTATGTTGAAGTGCTGGCTTCTCTGACAACAATGCAGCAGTCAGTATGTCCTCCTTCTAACTTTAGATTCTGGTCCTAAATGCTCTGGATTTGTTTGGACCAGAGACGGTTTTAAGGCAATCCCACCTGGCCGTTTTGGACGTCCCTCGGTTTGCCAGATAAGAGAGCAGTTATCAGGTCAACAGGTGTTGCAGCGATGGAAGCAGCCAAGAGAAGTGGTTCAGATAGAAGTGATTGTACCCGACCTAAAAAGCCTCTGCATGTTTCTAATAAGCTCCACGAGCAGAAACGTGCTCATAATTTAGAATTTAGACTGCAGTACCTATTTTAAACACTAGGAGTCAGAGTTACATACTGCTCCTTTTAGGCATTCATCGTTTGTCTGTTTCTCACTGCATCATTTATGTATTTTCTGCATGTTTGCTGTAAATGTGTTTGGGGTTTTTTTTGTGGTTCATGATCTCATCCTCTTTCACTCTTTGTGTTTGTGCTTTTTCCAACCACAGAATCTCTGAGGATTTAAGTCTTTAAACACACTGTCGGTGTCTGATTCTGTCTCATGCTCGTTTGTTTGTTCTCTGACGGCATGTGAAGCTCTTTTTAACTCTCTTTTTGAAAGATGCTCTCTAACTACTCTCAGTTATTATTATTCTTCCCTCCTTTATTTCTGCATACACGCTCTCTGATCTCTGAGATTTGACAGTTGGATCGTGTTTGGAGCTCAGTGGGTCAGTGTCAGCCCTGAAGCCTTCTCTCCTGTGCCGTAATGAGCCGTTAAGTTCATTGTGCTCTCGTCGTGTTACTTCACATCCCCTGTAGTACACCTGAATGTTTCCTAAAGTGGCGTCCTGCTCCTGTTGATCTGTTTTATTTGGGGCTGCGGTGAGGCTGGATGTGGCAGCATCACAGGATCAAACAGATTATCCAGAAACAGATTTACACACAGCGAGGAGCTGCCAGGTTTCCTCCTCAGGATCCTTCTGCTCCTCAGATTACTCGGACGGGTGGACAACGACAAGAGGGAGAAGAATCCATTTGACACTATCGTTCAGACACACATATGATCCTGTGGCACTGACGGATAGGTGTCGGGGGGGGGGGCTCCTGAGTTGGAGGGGGTCTAGTGCCTAAAGGCATAGCTCAGGAAGTGAACTGGCACCTCTCCAGCTACCAGACACAAACCGGCGACTTTGGTTCCATACCCATTGAGGGTTGGGAGATATTTTAGATATCTTGTGCTTCATTAATTTATCCAATAAGATTGTTTTTCTATAAATCATTTACAGTCAGAAACACTCTCGTCTTTATTCAACCGTTTTATTGCAAACATGGAGGTACAGTTATGCGGAGCGTTGAAGGCTCTGGTCAAAGGATGCTCCCTGGGTTGGCTGAGCAGCACGACAAAGGTTTCCAGGACGTGCAGTGCTGAACTTTACCCACAAGGTAGAACCAAAGGCTTCAGGCAGAAAGGAGGCGGCTGGTTGCTGGGGGGGGTTGGAGGCAAAGCTTTCCCAGCAGCAGCAGAGTGTGAGCAGCGTTGGTGAAGCAGAGATCATAGAGACAATAGTTGATTAAATAGTGGATTGATTGATTGACCTTTACTTGAGTTAGTATGTTTATAGTGTTTAAATGGAGCGCCTTGATGAGAGAAGCTGTCAGCTGATTACAGCTGGGACGTGTCAATCTCTTGCTCTCTGTGTTTTCCGCTTTAAAGGAGCAATATGTAACTCTGACACCTATAGTGGTTTAAATGGGTACTGCAGTCCTAATTTTAAACATTGTAGAGAGCTGTCTCCCCCCGCCCCCTCCTCTCTAGAGTCGATGCTCACGCAAGTTGCTATGTGGTGGACACTGAAGCGTCAGTGTTTATCCAGCGCTGCATCGGTCTGTAAACCTTTCTGTGTTCTAACCTCTTTCCATTTTTCAAAAGCATCTCCAATATTGATCCTAGTTTGAGAAAATTTCAACAAAAAAAAACAGAAAATAGACAGAGATGAAAAAATGTGAATTTTAGAATAGACTTTAATTGGAAAATGATGTGAAAAAATAGCCTATCAGCGGAGGTCTTCACTGGTCTTGATTTCAAATCTGGAGTTCGCCCAGTCTGAAACCAAGACAAGACAGACCTTCAAAAAGTGGTCTCGAGACCAAGACCGATTTCAAGTACTACAACAGTAGTTTTCGGGTTTCATTGAATGTAATTGACCTTCAGGGCCACCATAGAGTGAACATATAAAAACACACCATCATCATCATCATCATCATCATCATCACACTTTACAGGACTATTTGCTTCAGTCTGTCGGTGTCATCTTCATTACATTAGATATAAAGACACTCCGCAGCGAACAAACGCAGCAGCTACATTTGATTTAAATGTCCGTCTGCACAGAGTCCAGACTCTCAGACAGCTGCAGGGTCTCCCTCGCAGCATCGCAGGGGCTCTGCTTGCCTGCTGGGTCTCATAAGTATGATGTCTGACACGTCGTCTCCTGTGAGAGAGAAAACACAACAATTAAACATGCACCAACAAAGTGAAATCTGAGGCAGAGGTTTGTTTGACAAAGAAGAGGACTCAGGGAAGCAGAAAGTCAGCACTCACCGCGCTCTTTTCTTCTTCTCTGCTCTCCGTGTTTGTTGCTCCTTCAGTGGATTCTTCTTCATGTTTTCCTCCTGAGTTTTTCTCCGCCTCCTCCTCCTCCTCTCTTGTCCTTGATGAAGATGCCTCCTCTCCTCCTCCTGTGGATGGGATCGCTCCATCCTTTGTGTCGTCTTCTCTGGACTCTACATCGATCTCCGACTTCTCTTCTTCATGGGTTTCATTTTTCATTGAAGCGTCTGTTTTTTCCTCCTTCACCTCACCTGTTTTGTCTTCATCCTGCCCTCCTTCTCCTACTCCTTCCCCTACTCCTTCTTCTTCTGCTCTGTCTGTCTTTTTGTCTCCTTGTTCACTCGACGAGCTCAGACCCACCTCGTCTCCGCTGCTGGTCTTCCTGTGGCGGCGAGATGGAGGGCGTCGTCGGGTGGAGTGGCGAGCTCGACTCTGGAGGACCAATGAGAGCAAAGACAGGCAGGTGAGGTCACCTCATTCAGACTTAGTAAAGTAAAAACTGTTACTCTAAGAGGCAGGAACATACCTGCCCAGGTGTTAGCATGAATTTGTTATTTGATTACATCACAGGAACCAGACCAATCAGAGTGCTGGATTTAACCTGAGGAAGAGAACAGTGACTCACCTTGTTGATGTTTGACAGGATGGACCCCTCCTCCGGGATGGGAGGGGCTTCAAAAGAGGCGGGACCTTCCTCTTCGGTTAACGGTGAGGTGGCGACAGGGCTTAGGGGGGTTGGCGTGGATGGGGTGGTGGTTACCGTGGTAACAGGGGCAGAGACAGGTGACTGAGGGGGAAAGGAGGGGGGCAGCAGCCTGAAGCCGGGGCTCTTTGGAGATGGGAGCAGCGCCGTGGGAGAGAGCGCCAGGTTGGCCTGCACAGAGAGACAGTGATGTCACAGTGATGTCACGGTGATGTCACGGTGATGTCACGGTGATGTCAGAGGGCACACAGAGAGACTGACAGGGACCACCTGGACTCACCTGCAGCTTCTCAATCAGAGCAGAGTTCCTCTTGACTTTAACAGGTAGAGTAGAGGTGACACCTTCAGGCTGACACACACACACACACACACACACACATATTTGGTGTTATGTTTGAGGGCCCATGTCACCCCTCAGGCCCACCTTTTGGCTCCTCTCCTGTTAGCGATTACAGAGATAAAATAAGTAATCTGTGTCTCACCTCTTGGTTGTCTTCGTGAGGTTTTGGGATCTGTAAGGAGCGAGGAGGCCGTCGTCTCACCGGCTTCTCCTGGTAAACAAACAAACAGTATTATTAAGCCTCCATTCTGGAACCATGTTACCTACATCAGAGAAGGAACAATCATATGTGCACCAGAAAAGTTTGTCACAATATGTAACTCTGACACCTAGTGTTTAATATGGGTACTACAGTCTAAATTCTAAACTTCATAGAGAGCTGTCTCCCCCGCCCCCTCCTCTCTAGAGTCGATGCTCACGCAGGTTGCCATGTGGTGGACAGAATCTAAAGTTAGAAGGAGGACATACTGGCTGCTGCATTGTTGTCAGAGAAGCCAGCACTTCAACATAGCATGTTTCCTTAATGTCTGATCATATAGTAAGCTCACTTTATCATTTCACTCACTACACATCTTACTGATTGGACCTTTAACTTTTCTCTGCTCAGACCGCCTCCTCTCAGACAAACTGGTGAGCGTTCAGACAGGTTAATGGGAGTTTAATGGACTTATGTTCCCAGCTTGCAGCTCCTTTAAGGACTTAAAGAGACTTCAAATAAAGGCAATAAGGCACGAGGAGCGACTTCATCCTACACAACGTCAAGAAACACATTGATTTCTCTGACATCTCTGACTGATGAAAAGTCAACTTCTGAGTTTCTTTATTTCAATTTACAGTAAGAGCTTCTCTCCCTGGTTTAAAAGCTGCACTTCCTCAGATTTTCTCTATAAAGAACATTTTTATTCAATTAAACATATTTCATTCATTCACTGAGCAAAACAGTAAGATCTCAAATCGTGACTGAAAAGAAGCAGAAAGAAGAATAATCTACTCCTCTTTCTCAGGCCAAACATAAATGATGAAGTGAAACGCTTCAGAGAGTCGTCTTCATACAAACACTGACAGATGTTATTTCATGTTCATGTTCAAACACACACACAAAGCACTTCCTGCCTCATTTCCTGTTTTTATTTCAACAAACTTCTGTTGAAACTCTGCCGCACACTGAGACACTTTCAAGGACACTCCGTAACCTCAGTTTTTACAGACACAGTTTTTAACTAAACGTCAAAAATACGACTTTAAAGGCCACATATCATCCTCATCATCCAGAGTAAATAAGTGCCAGAGCTTCTCAAAACATGTGTGTGAAGTGTCTTGTTCTAAATACACTCTGATCCTATATTTGATCATGTCTATAAACCCCTCTATTTCAGGCCTGCTTAGAACAGGCTGTTTCTGTGTCTGTACCTTTAAATGTAAATGAGCTGTGTCTGACCACGCCCCCTCTCTGGAAGGGCTTGGGTGTGTCGGGCTTTATCGCTCCATGTCCTATTGTTTACGGTGAGAAAGCAGACTCAAAAGGGCAGAACAAACACCTAGCTGTGGGAGTGTCACCCACCTGGGGGAGGGGTTACTGCCCTTTGTGATGTCATGAAGGGAAAATTTCCAAACGGCTGTTTGAGCACACATTTTCTGAAAAGTGGAGCAGGGAAAAGACGGAGAGGATGGACTTCTCTCATCATCGGGGGGGTTTGTAGACAGACTAGGGACACATATTAGTGTTAGAGGAACATGGAGAAGAGGATTTTACAGAATATGTGACCTTTAAAGACTCTTTCATTATGTTATATTTGACAGTGGATGTTTTATGTGTCTCTTTTTTGTCCTTTTCAGCAGTGGGTTTGCGTCTCATGTGGTTCTTTCATGTTTATTTGTGGTCTGTTTGGATCTCTTTATTATCTCTGGGGTCTCTCTTTGGTCGTTTGTCTCTTTAAAGTTATCTCGTCGTCCCTTTGAGTCTCTTTGCCGCTGTTTTGCTTCTTTGTGTCTCTGACTTTGTTCTTAGAAATGCTAACATATCGAGGATTCTGTGGCAGAAGGGTTTTGGATCCAACAGGGGTGGCCGAGCAGATCTTAGGGCCCTGTGCCCTCCATGGCCCCCTCTGTGACTCCGCCCATGCAGCTTGCATCCATACTCAGGTGTGTGTTTGTGTGTTATTCACAGATTATGTTTTAAACTCACTGTTTTCTCTCCAGCAGCATCCTGTGGAGGAGCCAAGCCTTTAAATCGTCCTGCGAGGTCAGCCACAGAGCGTCGTGGCAGAGCTTCCTCCTGAGGGAGGGAAGGAAGGAAGGTAGAATGGAGGGAGGAGGGAGGAGGGAGGGAGGGAGGGAGGAAGAGAAGATAAAGTTTGTTAATAAAAAGAAAAACATCTTACAGTTTTTTCCAATTGCTAAAACACAATTTTGCAAACTAGGCTGGTTTTATCAAAATACCAAAATTCACAAAACCACACACCCAAACTGCAAAATACCTCATATATCCTGCATAATGAAGCACTGCAACCAAAACTACATATAGCATTATATTTATATCAAAATAGAGCTTTTGCACCAAATGGCACACACTTCATTCATATTACCAGATTTTTGTCTAACCAACTACACACTGTCGGGCATAATGAAAAGCATTCTCATCTTTAGTATTCTTTGCCATAATACTAAAATAGTTCAAATTGTAGAAAATTCTTCAGATTGTTCACATGCACAGAAATATTTGCAGATACACACGCTGTTCAAACATTTTTTTTTTTTTTTCACCAAACAAGTCAGTGCTACATATACCAGTACAGTAAAACGGCTCAAGTTGGGCTGATCTCTGTCCAGCCTCTCGCATTGTCAGCCCATGCTTGATGACATGATCAACTAAGGTTGCTCTGATTTCATTTGAAAGTTGTTGTCTTCTTTGGCCATGAACTCCTCTACCAGCTCTACCCCTACATCTCACTCTTCCTCCCCCTCTCATTCTCACCCTCCCTCTTCCTCATCCTCTCTCTGCAATGTCTTCCATTGTTGTAAAAAAAAGATGCTCACTTGTGGTCTTTTCATAGTGCTTACTTCCTGATTGAAGTGATAACAATTAACCATTGAGGTGTTTGGCCAGGTAGCACATATATAGCCAATTAGCTCATGTAGTGTCATTTTGAATGGCAGTGTTTTGAAATGGCAAACATGTGACTTTATGTCAGATTGTTGTGTCTTATGCAGAGAACCGTGTTCAGTGCATTTAAAAAGTGCAAAATGTGTGTAAAGCAGAAAATGTGTTTAGACTTTTGGAGACTTGAGAAGAGGTTTTGCTCTCTGTGTGTCAGTTTAAATAATTGTGCTATGCATGTCATTTTAGTGTGTTAGCAATTGGAAAAAACTGTAAACATGGCGGCTAAAATTATGACACACAATTGGTTTGTGTTCTATAGAAGATGCACACGCACACACACACACACGAAGAGGATGTGGTTTAACGGTAGTTTTCTCTCACTTTCTGCCTTCAGTTTAGGTCGACGACACGCGGAAAAGAATGAGCAACACTCTGTGTGTGTGTGTGTGTGTGTTAGTGTGTAGTGTGTGTGTGTGTGTGTGTGTGTGTGTCCTCTGCAATGTGGCTTCATTATCTGTTGAATGTCAGCAATGTGAGACCTTCAGCTGACATGGACGAGGATCAACCTCATGTCAACAGCTGTGTGTAGTATGTGTGTGTGTGTGTTTCTGTGTGTGTGTGTGTGTGTGTGTGTGTGTGTGTGTGTGTGTGTGTGTGTGTGTGTGTGTGTGTGTGTGTGTGTGTGTGTGTGTGTGTGTGTGTGTGTCTGTGTGTGTGTGTGTCTGTGTGTGTTTTGTGTGTGTTTCTGTGTGTGTTCTGTGTGTCTGTGTGTGTGTGTGTGTGTGTGTGTGTGTGTGTGTGTGTGTGTGTGTCTGTGTGCTATCCTTTTTATTTGCAGATAAAACTGTTGTCTGTTTTTCTGTAAAAACACGGCTACATTTCTTTCAGGCTCACGTGATTTGCAGAAATCTTTATTACGTTCACAGTATTTATTATAATCAATCTATATTCAACTTTATTAATATTTATATTACATATTAGCACCTTTCACACAAACTCAGTCGCAGGTCAGAGTGACCACAAGGGAGTGGACGAGGGATTGACCTCAGTGGTGACTCATGTGCAGGGTGAAACCTCACGTCTGTGTTCGTAGTTTAGGAGCGAGAAGGGACAGAAGCTTTGATCTAAGTGAGGAGGCGTGGTCGACCACGTTGATAGGTTTTACACATTCTTTCAAAAGTTGTGATTGGTTGTTTAAAAAAAATAGAAATCAGTGCTCTCTTACCCGGCAGTGAAATTGATTTAGTCAGACAGTAAAGAACATTTCACTGACTTTAAGAAGCTTGTGCTCGTTTCGATCGCCACACGTCTCCATTATTCAAACGCTCTTCATGTTGCTGTTAAAGCTGAGCGTCTAAATGTGTTCGAAAACGCTGCAGCTCGTCTCTAAACGTACTCCACTGTGTTTCATTGTGCAGCGACTTGTGTTGTCTTTAAATGTGCTTTATGAATACAGGTGGATTGGATTTCTCTGTTGAATTGTGAGCCGTACTTTAAAAGTGTGTAGCCTACACATCACTGTTACTAAGGAACACAGACGGTTGTTAGGGACTGTGGGGGACTAACTGGCATCATATCACTACCTTTCTTACTTCCCTTCTTCTTTCCTTGGCATCATAACAATCCACAAGAAGTGGATAACAGAGGGAGCTTCTCTATCAAACGTCAAGCGTCCTGTTGTTAGTCTTTCACAGCCTTCTGGTGCGTCTCATTGAAATACATTCACTCTGCTAAAAAGCTACCAAAGCTTCAATCAATCATATATTTCTGACTTTAAATCAGACAAAGACACCAAGATATGAGGTTTTCACAGTCATAGTGTACTTAACTCCATGAGAGAAGAATTGATGCCTTTATGGAAAATAAATAAACATGTAAATATCTTTCTGAAGCCGTCAGTAACAGTGAGCGCTCTGTGTGTGTTCACAACGTGTCAGCTGTGGGATCGTTTGCATGTTGGCTGTCAGAGACGGTCGTCACAGCAAAATATCTTCGGGGATACAACACAACCCTGTGATGCATTCAAGGGCTGTCGGAAAGATCCGACATTCCGGCTTTCAGTGGGAAAATTCAAAATTAAGAAACATCAATTCATCCAAACAGTCATCAAATGTCGAAACAGTCATCAAACGTCCAAACAGTCATCAAACGTCCAAACAGTCATCGAACTTCCAAACAGTCATCAAACGTCCAAACAGTCATCAAACGTCCAAACAGTCATCAAACGTCCAAACAGTCATCAAACTTCCAAACAGTCATCAAACGTCCAAACAGTCATCAAACATCAAAACAGTCATCAAACATCCAAACAGTCATCAAACATCCAAAACAGCCATCAAACGTCCAAACAGCCATCAAACGTCCAAACAGTCATCAAAGGTCCAAACAGTCATCAAACATCCAAACAGTCATCAAATCAAACAGCCATCAAACATCCAAACAGCCATCAAACATCCAAACAGTCATCAAAGGTCCAAACAGTCATCAAACATCAAAACAGTCATCAAACATCCAAACAGTCATCAAATATCCAAACAGTCATCAAACGTCCAAACAGTCATCAAACATCCAAACAGTCATCAAACATCAAAACAGTTATCAAACATCCAAACAGTTATCAAATATCCAAAAAGTCATCAAACATCAAACAGTCATCAAACATCAAAACAGTCATCAAACATCAAAACAGTCATCAAACATCAAAACAGTCATCAAACATCCAAACAGTCATCAAACGTCCAAACAGTCATCAAACATCAAAACAGTCATCAAACATCCAAACAGTCATCAAACATCCAAACAGTCATCAAACATCAAACAGTCATCAAAGGTCCAAACAGTCATCAAACATCCAAACAGTCATCAAATGTCCAAACAGTCATCAAACATCCAAACAGCCATCAAACATCCAAACAGTCATCAAAGGTCCAAACAGTCATCAAACATCAAAACAGTCATCAAACATCCAAACAGTCATCAAATATCCAAACAGTCATCAAACATCCAAACAGTCATCAAACATCAAAACAGTTATCAAACATCCAAACAGTTATCAAATATCCAAAAAGTCATCAAATGTCCAAACAGTCATCAAACATCAAAACAGCCATCAAACATCCAAACAGTCATCAAAGGTCCAAACAGTCATCAAACATCAAAACAGTCAACAAACATCCAAACAGTCATCAAATATCCAAACAGTCATCAAACGTCCAAACAGTCATCAAACATCCAAACAGTCATCAAACATCCAAACAGTCATCAAACATCCAAACAGTCATCAAATGTCTAAACAGTCATCAAAGGTCCAAAAAGTCATCAAACTTCCAAACAGTCATCAAACATCCAAACAGTCATCAAATATCCAAAAAGTCATCAAATGTCTAAAGAGTCATCAAAGGTCCAAAAAGTCATCAAACTTCCAAACAGTCATCAAACATCCAAACAGTCATCAAATGTCCAAACAGTCATCAAACATCCAAACCGTCATCAAACGTCTAAACAGTCGTCAAAGGTCCAAACAGTCATCAAAGGCCCAAACAGTCATCAACATCCAAACAGTCATCAAACGTCCAAACAGTCATCAAACATCCAAACAGCCATCAAACGTCCAAACAGCCATCAAACTTCCAAACAGTCATCAAACGTCCAAACAGTCATCAAAGGTCCAAACAGTCATCAACATCCAAACAGACATCCAACATCCAAACAGTCATCAAATGTCCAAACAGTCATAAAACATCCAAACAGCCATCAAACGTCCAAACAGTCATCAAACATCAAAACAGCCATCAAACTTCCAAACAGTCATCAAACGTCCAAACAGTCATCAAAGGTCCAAACAGTCATCAAACATCCAAACAGTCATCAAACATCCAAACAGTCATCAAAGGTCCAAACAGTCATCAAAGGTCCAAACAGTCATCAAACATCCAAACAGCCATCAAACGTCCAAACAGCCATCAAACGTCCAAACAGTCATCAAAGGTCCAAACAGTCATCAACATCCAAACAGTCATCAAACGTCCAAACAGCCATCAAACGCCCAAACAGTCATCAAACGTCCAAACAGCCATCAAACATCCAAACAGTCATCAAAGTCCAAACAGCCATCAAACGCCCAAACAGTCATCAAACGTCCAAACAGCCATCAAACATCCAAACAGCCATCAAAC